AAAAAAAAAAAAAAGGTTTGATAATCTCTATCTCAGGAACTACCTGAGGAATGCTTTAATTTTTCTCAGCATATTTCCGTTAAATTACCCAAGTACCTAAAAAGCTAGCACCTCTGACCTTTCCTTTTTTTAATCCAAGATAAAGAGCTGGATTACAGTAGATTGCCATGTAATTTCTCTACTGCTGAAAGAAGTTAATGGAGTTTTTGTAAACAGCAGATAAGCATGAATAAAATATTTTTACATGACAAAAGAATAGAGCTCTCTAAACAGTTAAAGCTATTTTTAAGCAAGCAGACATTTTTTCCCTCTGAAGTTTATTGAGAGTTATTATTTCCCCCCCAAAACTTTAAAGTCTGGCTAACTTATATTTTTTAAAACTTCACATTTTTGAAGACTGAAGAGGCCTGGGAACAGCAACAGATGCCCTTTAAACTATGGTTATGGCTACCCTTGTAAGCACTATCTTTCTAAACGAGAAAAGCAAACAGCTGCTTCATTGCCTCGAAAAAAGTGATGTTCTTCCAGGATGAGGATCTGTGAAAAAGTATGTTCTAACTGGAATTATCTTTCCCTGCCTAATACAGGGAGAGAATCGTTAAGGATCCCCACCTCCCCCATCACCCACACCGGCACCACTTTCTTTTTAGGTATTTCCTAGGCCTAAAATGAGTAGGAGAAATTAAACTTGGTTGTCTGAAAACGGAACCAGACCATCCAGATGAACAGACTGCTCCTTTGTCTACTAGAGACAAGAGGTTTGCGAAGTCTGTACTGAAATGTAAGGACAGGATACATATTCCTTCTCCCGCTGGGGCTCGTTAATATCTACAGTTAGTTAAAATGGAAGACTTGAATATGGTCACATTCAGAAAGGAGTCTAATTTCTCAGTGGTTTGAGGACCTTCCCCCCCCCCCCCCCCCCCCCCCCCCCTTTTTCTATATAAAAATGCCACCTCATAAAACAGGACCTTCCTACTTTAGCTTTAATGCATGGCCCATCTTTGTGGTATTTATGCATCTTTTCCTTTGATGTTGTTCGCTACTCTGAATTTTTTTGATCATCTAAGCCCTGTGGCACTCAAGTAATCAAGATAATCAAGGCTGTCCCGCATTACTTTTTGAAGTCATCGTACAAAGCACTTGCCTACTTCGTCTGAGTAATCTCGGGACACCGAAGATGCTGCTGAACGTCTTAGTGGATGTGGTAGGGTAAATCAACTGCGAGTCCTTATCAGAAGGAATCATTGTATTAGCCGAAGCTGGCAAAAAAACGCTAGGTCCTGTTTCAAACCCAGCTGGCAGCCTGCTGGGGGTGGGCAGGAGTTTGCTCTGCAGGATACAAACTCCTCCGGCACGCGGAGCTGGCGGGAGGTCCTGCAGGCCTGGGGCAGGCTGTGGAGGACATTACTGATCTCTGGTTGCAGAACACGCTGACAGGGACAGGACTTAGGCATTCAGGGCAATGCCTGGTTGGTATTGTCATACCTGCATTGTAGGTGCGCTCTTCCCTATTGACTATTGGAATCCACCAGGTTACGCTGGTCACCCTCCAAATAGCATCAGTTAAGCCACAAGAGCCAAAATGCTCTGGACAGAAAGCTGTAGGAGGAAATCCAGAGGAAAAAAAAAAAGCCCGGTCTTTGATAAAAAACGAACACTAAATTCTGCTCTGCTGCCTTAGTCCACTGGGGACCCGTTCTCCTGCTGCACGGAGCAAAGCAATTGAGCCAGTTGTTGCTCACAAGATAGAAAAATGACAACCTTCTGCTTAATATGTCATCTAACGGTTGCCAGAGGTGTGTCCTCTGCACTTCTACCATGTACCTTGTGTCACCCCTAGCATGGCTCAGATCTCTCCAACTGGATTCAGCTCACAAACCAGTCAAGAATCTAACCCTGCACCCCCAAATCATCACATAGGTGCATTCAGCCAGCTTGCAGAGGTATCTAAAAGGTACCAGAGCCACCATCAGCCAGGTGGTGGGGCTGGATGGTGGAGAGAGGAGTGAGGAAAGCATGCGGAGAAAGAAGAGAGGAATTTCCTCCTCTCCCTACAGGGACTGAAATTAGTCTGCTCCGTGTCTGGAATGAGTATCTTGGCCCATGGCCACTCACTTATATTTTGTATTTTGTGGTGAGTGCAAGGTGCGTCGAACCACGCAAGGACCATAGACCCCTTGGACCGTGGGACAGTGAGGCCTTGGGAAGGGTTTGGTGCTTGGCCAAGATACTTAAATGTCTCTTCAGTGGCCTGTGACCCAGAGCTTTCCACCAGGTGTGTGCCATAAACACGAACCTGCACAGTCTTTCTTTTACTGCTGCTTGATGAGTCATTATTTACTCAGTACAGAGTGGAACAGCTTCTGCTAGAGGGTGCAGAGAGACCCACTCCAAGACATATTTGAACAGTTAGAGCAGTCGTATGGGACCTGCAGATAAAAATCCCTTTGGGCAAATAAGAGAGCAGCTGCTGGGAACATTCAGTTGATTAAAAGAGAGAAAAATCATTTTCTCCTGCTCATGTTTTATGTGAAAAGCCTATTCCAGTAGGTGTCTTGAGGAACATCTACGGGAAAGGGTCCTGCGTGAGAAGCAAATGGGGGAAAATGAGGCTGGTGATCTCTATCTCAAGTCTGGGGCTACCGGGGAGACTACCTTGAGCAGGTCAGTGCTCAGGCTCTGGATTGCTCTAGATGGGCCAGACGCCAAACAGCTCGGCTGCGCAAGGCTGAGCGCCTGCGTCCCATCCGCACGCTACGCAGCAAGCGCTGACTCCGTCAGACAGGGACGTGAAGTCAGGGTGTCCCGTGTCTCCGGCTCATCCCCAGCATTTGAGGTACGTTCTCTCGTGCATCTCACCCGCTCCCGGTCCCGTCGCCCCGTGCAAATCCGCAGCGCCCCGGCCGCCGGAGCGGAGCCGCTCAGCGCCCGCCAGGGGTTGCGCCTGCTGCTTTGTTTGCAGCCCCGAAGCTGCAAACACTCGTGGTGTCCAGCTCCCGGGGCTCAGCTGCGCCTTAAAGACAACGGGTTAGCTTTTAACAGCCCTGGTCGGCACACAATGTGCTGACTGTCGTTCCCGGAGAACAAAATGACAGATGGGCTGGTGATGCGTTTGTCTTGGGAGGCAGGGAACGAGCGGTGCCACTTGGTTACTAATTACCTTCTCGCCATTCATAAGGGGGAGGGGGGGAGAAAGCAAAACAAACAAACAAAAAAATGCCCCCGCGCTCGACCCGACTCGCGCGGGCGTGGTGAAATTAATGAACTTTTTCACCCTCGGCTGTGCCAAGAGCGAGCGCCCCTTCTTGCGCCTCCCTGCTGCCAGGCTGCTGCGCCGCGAGAGCGCCGCTCCAAAGCAGTCGTGCATCCTTATCAGCCACCGTTGCCCCTGCTCCTTTTTGCTACCCTGCCTGGTTTTTCACACCGCTCAGGTCCGCGCATCAGCAAAAAGGCTGGTCTTTCAGACCTGTTGTTCATGTCCCTGTCTCTAAACTGGCAGAACTGCTCTTGTGCAAAAAAAAAAAAAAAATTCTAATCTGCTGCAAACTAATAAATTGATTTTTGAGCTTATCGCCTTTTTTTTTTTTTTGGTAGTTATTTTTTCCACACTCTTTGGCATGAGTTTCCAATGTTCTTACACGTGGGAAGTTAAATGCGGCTTTGCGAGAAAGCTGAGTAATCTCGGACAATAAGGTACTACCGGAGGTGAGCCAGGGTGTCCTTAATGACTGTATGCACCAGAAAAGTGTATCCCCACTTCCTGTTCACTACAATCTTACCAGTTACTGAAGTAAGTAAGTTCAATGCATCTTGTGTTCAAATTGTATTTAAAGCCTTTCACAAATAAGTGCTGATAAGATCCTTTTTGTGAAAAGTCTTTATGAGCTATTATCCATTACATGTTTAATTACAACATTTTTTCAGAACTTTGCTCTAACATTTATGTCCCATTATGACCCATTATTTTTCTAACAAGCAACTCAATAAGAAGATGCACTAAACGTTGCAACATGAATTTAGTTTATCTCTTAATCCTAAATCTGAAGAAGCTTTTGGTCTGGAAATAATAGTCTGGAAATTGATCAGTGAGATCTATCAGCTCAGAGTGGAGATTTCTACGTTGCTTCTTACCATTATAAAAGACCGTTACGGAGGTGGTGGGGGTGGAGATAGCCAAACCGACGTGTTACTCGCCTAAGTAAGACAATTCACAATGCCGCATTTGACAGACAAAATTGGCACACAGAGCCGTAGCTACGTGACAGTGTAAATAGGAGCTGGAAGCTTAAGGAGGGGAGACGCTGCCAGTATGCAGGTAAACGCTCCAGGCTGTTTTCCTGGTTTTGAAAGCTGCTACAAAACCAGTTTCAGCCAGGCAGTCAATTTAGCGGGTATTCTACCTTTGCGTGCTTTTTCGGACTGATCGCGCTGACGCCAGTCGAGCCTGACCACTAGCAGTTGGCTTTGCAGCGGTTTGGACCAGGTGGGTGTTAACTGCGGGTCTCGCCAGCAGCAGGGGGTTACACGTCGCGTGGGTCAGTTTCGGGGCCTCCGGGTGGTGGGTCTGAGGAGCACCGTCCCCGAAAGCGGCCGAGCGGCAAGCGCTGCTCTCAGCCCCGCGAAGACCCAGCTCCCCAGGTCTCCTCAAGCAGTCTGAGCCATCAGCTTCTTCAGACAAGACCCTCCACCAAACAGCTTTCACCATCTACCTTTGTGACTTTGCGGCTTTTCACCTCGTCTTCGTTAGACTCGGCAGGTCTGCTCTTCTCCTTTCTCCTTCAGCGGCTCCGCGCCCTCGGCGCCCACGACACGTCAGCTGTGTCAGTGCCGCGACAAACGGTGGGTCGCCCCTTCTCCGCAGCACTCGGATATCTTCTTCATCGCTCTCCGGGTGAAGTCCACCTTGCCCCGTTCTTTCTTGAGAGCCGTGTACTCGTAGGCCTTCAGCTTGCTGTAGTAGTCTGAGAATTTGTTGTAGAGGATGGAGATGGGCATCCCGTTCAGGATTATTCCGAAAGCAATGCAGAGGAAAGCGAACAAGCGGCCGAGGTGAGTTTCCGGGCACATGTCTCCGTATCCCACTGTAGAGATGCTGACCTACAGGCAAAGCAGTGCGGCTGGTTACCTGAGAAGGGCAGTACGAGCAGGTGTCTCCTTCTAATCTGTCCAGATATGCTCAGGGAACACGGACAATTCTAAAGTCAACGTTTGCGCGCTTTGTATCCTAAACCTGAAGCGCTGTCTACCGGCTTTCTTCTGTACAGTGCACCCTCCCCAGTTAAAAAGAAAATAACCCTCTCTTGCAATAACGGAAAACAACGGTGTGGCTGAGCAACAAGGAAGGTTTTTGACAGCTTTGTCCTGCAGAGGGAATTTCCAGACACGTTCCCGTCCATCCTGCCCAGCAGGTGGGTTTACTGGGCCGAGGTGAGCAGCTCGAGGTGCTCCCTGACGGCACAAATCCAGCGGCAGCAGCAGCCCTGCTCCTGCATCCCCTCGATGGGAACGACAGCCTCTGTGTCTGAACTGAACGCGCTTGCAAAAGCTAGTATTTGGGAATTTACTGAGGTATGGGTTACGTGTTGAGTCTCACCTTTATTCATCATGTATTATATATATACCATGTATACCACATATACCACACACACATGCACGCACGCACACACATGCACACACACACACACACACACACACACACACACACACACACACATATAGGTAGTAATGAAAAGCACATGAAAAGCTTCAGCTACTTGCAAAATGTATTTCGATAATGTTTGCACTATAGGAAGAAGTGGCCTGGCAGAGCTCTTTTGTTTGAAGTTTATAAATAAATTTCTCTTTAACAGTTATATAACTGTAAGAAGCTATAGAAAAAAACAAAGATCTCATTCAGGTGCCCGGAAGCCTTTGCTTGCAGTGTGTGCTTGCAATATGTATTTATGGTGATAAATTGTTTGTTCTTCCTGCTCAGCTATACGTCAGAGGTTACAGAGGCATGTTATAGTATGTGCGCTTTCCACAGGCAACACTCCTCTTGTTTTAGCTGACAGGTACCTGGAAACTTCTGCTGAATTGTGCCTTGAAAAAGGGGTTGGGGATTGATGACAATGTTGGGGTATTTTTGTGGGAGTGCTGATATTTAGTATCTTCATGTCACATGAACCTGTAAATCTTGCCATCACATTATGTGTACAACCTCGCAGACGTTCTCATTTTCTCTTCTGAGCCTATGCATGCGTGAAGGAGCTGTGTTTTATATGGACTGCGTACTGCACTGAGTTCTGCAACGCTGCCAGTGTAAAATTTGGTTTGGGCTGAATTCATGTCCACTAGGTGTTTGCTTATGGGGACGCTGCATATAAATGAAGTACTCCCAAACAACTGGTACAAAATAACTCCTAAGATACATTCCTCCAATGCGTACATCTTGGTAGTTTTTAGTCCTTACATTTAGTGAATATAACTTATTTTTCCCTGTTAGGCATGATTTCCAGACTTCTGCAATCTGGCACATCCTAATCTAACCCCTATGCAAGGGATATTTTCCAGCCAAGTAATCTTATTTAATTTTTTTTTCACAGTATCTGAAGACACTGCACGCATCTGTGAAAAGATAATGTGAAACTCTTTCAGCAGTAGCTAAAGCGCAGGCAATAGCAGTTTCATTGCAATGCCCTTGTGGCTTTTGCTCTGAAATAAGTGTTTGGAAGGTCACAGTGTGCAGCCTGCCATCCTCTAACATGCTAAATAAAATGTTATTTCAAATGAAGAAAGCGTTAGGGTACATGAGACAGCACTGGATAAGCATATTTGTAGGATGCACCTGGTGCTTCCTGTGGAATAAAAGGGATTAGTCATTTGGTTTAATGGAAATTAAGTCACTGGATTTGAATGATAATGCAGGATAAATATCTCCAAAAATAAATACTGAGATGAAGGCAAGATGCTTATCTCTACCAGCCAGGACAATATCATTATCCTGTGATAAGGTCCTGTTTCACTGGCATCCTCTTCTACATCACCTAGGGCAATCTAGGAGGGATAACTGTTGTTTTGTGTGTGAGAGACTGTCGACATCATTGTTGGATTTTGTTGAAATCTGAGTGATCTGAATATTTTAAATTTCTACTCTAACAATAAATAGACTTACAAAAGAGTTATGACATACAATTGCACTGTGTGCGCTACAGCTCCTCTTCTGGCACCCCTTCCTGGCTTAAATAGGCACTTATCATGTATATAATTGTGTAGGTTTCATAGGAATATCTGAATAACAATGGCCCATCAGCTTGCAGGAGTAAGCCCTAAAGATTTTACATGCATCCTGCACGTTCAGAAAACAAGACATAAGGCAATGGCCTTATTCCAGTTACGTATGAGGTGTGATTTTTTTCACAACCTTTGCATATCACTTACAGATGCCACGTAAAGGCCATATTACAGGACCCTTTGCAACATACATTGATTTTCCCTCCTTCCCACGCCCCAGCTTGGGGGATGCTCAGCGCATTTCTGCAAGAGCATGCACATCACATACATGTCTGCCGGGCGATGACGTGCTAGAGCAGGTGGAGAAATCAAAATGGCCATAGTCCGATGTCCCTGGCTAAATCTTCATGCCCTGGAAAGGTGTGAAACCAACAGCTTGGAAAAATGCTACCTCAAACCTCCCTCCGCACCGCACAGTAGAGGACGGGTCAGTTCAGACCTCCCAAGGAGATGTGCCTAAGCGCGTGAAAATGAGGTCATCCTGGCTCCATTTCTGAGGCATGTCCGCGGAGCTCAGCCACTGGCCCTCACTCCAATTGCCATTTTGCAATGTGAGCTTCTCCCTGCTCGGGATAGGACTAAAAACACGCTCTTTCCTGCAGAGGCTGCAAAAAAGATGCAAGGTGATGTTAACCTGCCATCACTACTGACTGGTGTGGGATTCAAACCAGCAGCCCGGATGTGGCTGGGCAGTTCATCCCCTTATCCATCCCTCGAGTCGTGCTGAGCCTTTTTCCATTTTACTTCTGTGCAAGTCTGGCACAGTAGAAATATCAGCAATGTTTTATTCATGTGCATGTGTCTTAGGGGTGTCACCTAAAGAACAGGACACAGTGCCTTATGTAGAACAATTGTTGGTCCTATACACATTTTTAATAGCCAGGGCTCTGGGACAGATTTGGCTTTACAGGTTTGACTGTGTAGAGCATGCCTAACAGTACATAAACTATGTGTTATCGTCTCGTAGATGTTTGATGGGTTAGAGTAAGTGTTCGAAAATACCAGCAGAAATGAAAATCCCACGTTCTTCTGCAACCAGCTAGCCTGATAGGCACTTTTTTCCCTTTTTTTTTTAGTGCTGTCTATTTGATTAAGTGGGGAAATGCTTTCCTTTCCTGTCTGTTTGCCCACTTCTTCTTTAAAGGGCAAGCACCGTATGCATGCAGTGGGATGGGAATTTCAACACTGTCGGCCTGATTAAGCCTTGATTTAAGCTCACAGCAGAGGTGAGTGAGTGCATATGTCCTGTAAGCTCAGAATTCAGAGCAGATGTTCACCGATCTGAGCCTGCTGTTTTCAAGACTGACAGCAACTCCAGCAATGAAGGGGAGGGGAGGGGAGGGAGGGCCTCTGGCTACCCAGCAAGGTGAGATGTTTTTACTTACGGCAGCCCACCACCACGCATGGGGGATGCTGGTGAAGTTGGTGCTGGAGACGTCATGCTCCACCGTGTAGACCATGGCGGAGAAGGCGAAGATGCCCATGGCAATGAAGAGCAAAAGGCAGCCCACCTGCTGGTAGCACTGGCGCAAGGTAAAGCCGAAGGCACGGAGCCCCGTGGAGTGGCGGGCCAGCTTGAGGATGCGGAAGAGGCGCATGAGACGCATGATGCGAAGCACCTGCCCCACCTTGCCCACCCGTCCCACTTTCTCAATGTCATGCTCGTGCTGAGAGCCTCGGCCCCGGGGCTGGTCGTCATCAGCGAAGCACTCCAGCAGCAGCTGGAGGCAGAGGGGCAGGGTGGCAATGAG